TCTCGCCCCTTTCCGGCTCGGGCCTGGGAGGCATCCACAACTCCCAGCAAGGGCTCCCTCACTACGCCCATCCGGGCCCCGCCATGCCCGCCGACAAGATGCTCACCCCCAACGGCTTCGAAACCCACCACCCGGCCATGCTCGGCCGCCACGGGGAGCAGCACCTCACGCCCACCTCAGCCGGCATGGTGTCCATAAACGGCCTCCCTCCACACCACCCGCACGCCCACCTGAACGCCCAGGGCCACGGACAGCTCCTAGGCACGGCCCGCGAGCCCAACCCCTCGGTGACCGGCGCGCAAGTCAGCAGTGGAAGTAATTCAGGGCAGATGGAAGAGATCAATACCAAAGAGGTGGCGCAACGCATCACCACGGAGCTGAAACGCTACAGCATTCCCCAGGCCATCTTCGCGCAGAGGGTGCTGTGCCGCTCCCAGGGGACACTCTCGGATCTGCTGCGCAACCCCAAGCCCTGGAGCAAGCTTAAATCCGGCCGGGAGACTTTCCGGAGGATGTGGAAGTGGCTGCAGGAGCCGGAGTTCCAGCGCATGTCGGCGCTCCGCTTAGCAGGTGAGCCGGCCGGAGCCCAGTGCTTAGGCGCGGGGGGCGGGGGCTGGAGGACTCCCCACTCCTCCTGGAGAAGGTCCTTGGGGGGCTGGCACGTGGCTCAGCGTCAGACGCTCCCGTAGGGCTCTGCGCTGGTCTGTGACAGAGGCGGCACGGCCTCAGCGGCTCCAGGCACAGGAGGGCCGCCCAGCTGGGGGCTACGAGAAAACCTGGAACCTGGCAGTACACCTGCGGTGCCAGGGTTCTCGACCCAGCCCCGAGGCTTGGGAGGAGGGGGCGCCGCCTGTCTATCTGAAGCTGCTCGTGGCACTCGCCTGCCCAGGTGCGCGCCCGGGGTAGAACTGGCGCGCGGGGCTTCTGCCTGCGTTCGGCTAAGCTCAGTTCCTGGGCGCGGGGCAGGCTGCCCAGAACCGCGCTCTAGGGGTGCGCCGCGAGGCGAAGTGCTCGGAAGGACCTCTGCCGAGCGCCATGTGCGCGTGGGGCCAGCCGTGGGCTGGAGATGGACGGGGAAGACGTCTGCGACGTCCCTGGGAGAGGGGCTGAGCGACAACGGGCCCTCCTGGCGG